GGGGGGGGGGGGGGGGGGGGCTTAATAACTTTTTTCCTTTGAAAAGGGGAGGACTTATTTGGCAGGGGGTGGGGGGTTAATAGAGGATTTATGGTATAGAGATATACATATACATGAGACACCACTGGTAGCCCAAACTCTCAAAAAATGTCCTGCATGTCTTTTTAGTCAATTTTTTCAAGTGTGCTTACCGACAGAAAAGCAGTGGAAGAGAATGCTCAATGAAAGTTTGAAAGAACTTACTATTGAGAAGGCTTTTTAATAACCTGAGGTCAAGCTCTATTTTCGTTCCTCTTTGTAAATAACATTCCAGCAGGCAAGGCGAAACGAAAAGAGAAATGTTAGCGGGACCACGTAAGAGAGAATGTATGAGAACTGCTAAGATTGAGCCTGATCTCAGGTGAGGATCTCAGGTTAGCTTTTCAATAAACCCTTGAATAAATTTATTCCACTCTTCTTTTAGGAATTGTCATCCTTTCCTAGCACAGCCTCTACATCACAGGAAGACCATGAAAGCAATTCAGGATCCACTTCCTCCAGGAAATTGAGAGTAACTCTGTTAAGCAGTGAATGGAGATCAACGAAAGGAGGCTTGTCAACCATCAACCGAGAGCTGGCCATTCAGTTGGCGAAACACCCCAGCGTGGAGGTCAGTGTTTATCTTCCCAAGTGCAGCGAGGAAGATAAACAAGTTGCTGCAAGTCACAATGTTCATCTCATTGAAGCAGAGGAAATGGCAGGTTATGACAATCCAGTAGACTGGTTGTCCTCTTTACCAGACGGCCATGTTGTGGACTGTGTGATAGGACATGGGGCCATTCTTGGTCGGCAAGTGCAGGTTATCAAGCGTCAGTGTAAGTGCAAGTGGATTCAGGTCGTTCATACAGCTCCTGAAGAGCTTGGTATGTTCAAGTCCTACACAGATGCCATTTCAAGAGGTGAGAAGAAGCACCAGGCTGAGGTAAAACTCTGTGAAAAAGCTGATCAAGTTGTAGCAGTTGGACCCAAGCTGGCTGCAGCTTTTTCAGGTTATCTGCGTCCTTGTGGAAAAGATCAAGATGTTCTCAATCTTACCCCAGGCATTTTCTCTGAGTTTGCTGATGTAAAGCAAGCCTCTCAAGAAATAAGTTCATTCAGTGTTTTAGTGTTTGGACGTGGCGACAGTGAAGATTTTCAGCTGAAGGGATATGATATTGCTGCTCAAGCCATTGCTGAGTTGAAAGACGTGACCTACAAACTTGTATTTGTTGGAGCAACAAGCGGAGAAGAAGATAAAGTAGCAGACTTGCTACTCAAGCAAGGCATTGATCGCAGTCAACTGAGGGTGCGTCGTTTTAATGAAAGCAGAGAGCAGCTAGCCCAGTTGTTTTGTGAGGTAGATCTTGCTATAATGCCATCACGAACTGAGGGATTCGGTTTAGCTGCCCTTGAGGCTTTATCAGCTGGTCTGCCTGTGCTGGTTAGTGGGAACTCTGGTCTTGGCGAAGCTTTGAAGAAAGTTTCGTTTGGTTCAAACTGCGTGGTGAAGTCGGAAAATCCAAAAGATTGGGCCAATGCGATCAGAATTGTCCGTGAAAAAGACAGAGAGATGCGACTTGACGAGTGTAAAACCCTACGTGAAAAATACGCTATGAAGCACAACTGGCGAGATGACTGTAATAGACTTGTGGAACGAATGCTAAACATTTCTGGAGGTAACATGTTCACATTGTTATTTAAGTTGGTCTTTATGTTTTAGAATGCTGACGTTAGGAAATGTACATGTACGAGTTAAGCAGCTACAACAACCAGTAGTCAAAACCTGAGTAATACAATGAATTTGCATTCATTCAAACTTCATCGCCATTTTTCCAACTTTCACAATTTGTTAAATGCGTGCGAATGTTTCTGGACTTGAATTTTGCAAAAACAGGAAGGAAATTTTCTCTTCTGTGTTCTTTGATTAGTAACCAGCAAAGAAATGTACAGAGTCGTGCAGAGAGTTGCTGTTTTGCTAATTAAACTTTTTACTTTTGTCGTCGTGGCGGTTGCCTAATACATAGTTCCCAAACAATCGTCCGGATTATCTTAATTAATCGCTGTCAGTTTTTTGGGCAAGTCGTTCCGGACGATTACTAAATAGGACGTAGCCTGTAAACAAAAATACTTCAATTCTGTTCAAGGTTGAGTTGTTTGAAACATGTTGAACGGTAATCGTACGAAGTTATGCAAACTCATACAAACACCAGTAGTGAAAACCTGAGTAACAAAATGAATTCCATTCATTTAAACTTCATCGCAATTTTTCTAATCCGGATCATCTTAATCGCCCCAAGTTTTTGGGGCGATTTTCTAAATGTTTTCGGACAGTTGTTCAAGGTTGAGTTATGGGAGGCAGCGAGGCCTAGTGGTTAGAGCGCTGGACTTGCAATTCGGAGGCCCCGAGTTCAAGTCCTTCTCTGACCGCTCCCTCTCCCTCTCTGTTCACGGTAGTCCCGAGTTCAAATCCTCGGCTACGCTTGTAAATAGCCATCTGGTTTGCCTCCGGTCAGTTAGGATTCTTAACCCTATTATGTTTGATTTGAATTATTTGTTTCAGTCATTTGCTCGGCCCCCGCTAGCATAGGTGCTATAAATACTGCCGAGGGTAAATAAAGAAAATATTATCATAGTTGACAAAAAGATGTTTATCTGTAATCCTAGTTTAACTAACTGTAAATAGAGCATATGAGTTGTCATGGTAACCAACCCTGGTATGAGCTAATCGCCTTAAAAAAAACTCGGTTCAGGCCATGGCTATCTTCGAAACACATGCTGGATCGTCTCAATCACCTGGAAACACTGTGCCATAACTAGCCCGATCAAAACGATGCTGACGATAAGAGACCTTACGATTCGACGACGCTGATGCCATTAAAAGCGTGCTGAAGAGTAAACTTCGTATTCTCTCAAACGTTTTCGCGATTGGAGTGGATTGGTTAAACTCTTAAACTCTGTTTAAATCAATTGGTCTGCGACGTTGATAAAGAATTGTTTCTATTTTTTGTAGGTCCCAATGCAGATGAGCAGGATTTATCTAAGAAAGCGGCTGTGATCTGTCAAGATGTAAAAGCCTCTGCTTCTGTGAAATCTCTTCAAAAAGGTACACTTAAGTTGAGTCTTGGAAAAATGAACATAATATTTATAAGAGTAAATCTTTGTTTTTCATGTAAAACGTTTACCGTAGTCTAACGAGAGCTTATTGAGTATTCCTTGCTGGACAATTGGATTAACCAGGAATAGTTGGGGCACTAAAAACACTCGTCTGAAAAGAGTCGAAATTCTTTCACAATGTCACAGGTCAAACTACGTCAATTGCCGACAAAAAGCACTCCGGTTTAAGCTTTACTTGAAAGGTGAAAAATTCCTTACCACTGTTACTGAAGAGCTTTGTCCGTTGACTAACAAACGAGCCTGTTTTTCCAAGATGGGTGATCCGACGTCTCTAGTGTGAAAACGGCCATTATTAATATACCTTGGTAAATGAACGCGATTCATGAGACCTCCAAATCCCTAGATTTGCCGCAATCGGGAGCCTTAGAAATATCTGCCTTCCAACGATTTTGTTCGCTTTTAGTCCCAAGCAGGATTAGTTGTCATGGTACGTAGCGTTAAGAACATGTTGGTAAGACTGTGGTGGTTATGCTCAGCGGTATTGCGCGCCAAGAGTGTATGTGTGTGAAAACGAACATGGCAGAGATGGTTTTACTATATAAACACCAATGAAATACCAGGTGATCTTTCGCACGAAAAGATGATAACTTCACATGCGAAAATATCACCGTTGCTATGGCTACGTAGTAATTTGCGCCTTTCATACCCAAAAACTATTAAAGTGAAATGGCTTGGTATTTCATTGGTGTTTATATAATAAATAGAACATTACATGGCCACATGGAGATACGAAATTTCTCTTGTGTTAAAAAAAATATTTCACTTGTTCGCTACGCTCACTCGTGAAATATTTTTCAACCCTCGAAGAGAAATTCCGTATCTCCGCGCGGCCATGATATCCTCTATATATTTACTGTTCCGTCTACATTTGTGTACAAACCTCTTTAATCATGGCCGTACCGGATGGTTAACAAATACTTTAAAGGTGGGTTAATGAATAAATTTTCTTCTGAACAGTTATTTAAGCAAAAGCCTAATTATGTTGGTATTTGCTGGATTTAGTCTCAGGCGCAGCAAAGAGATCGAAGTCTTCAAAAAAAGGCAAAAGGCCGTTATCTTCAAGCAATACTCCAAAACATCCGAGACTGTTGCAAGATGAAGGTAAAGTTTTACTTTTCCTTTATTTAGGTAAGGGTTGGTATTGTACTGCGTGTATATGAGTGAGTATATGTAAACTTTCCCAATATAGTATAATGGGGCCTTTGTAGCTGGTCTTGTGTTCCCTAAGCGCGTCTTCATAACCTGCATAACTGACGAAACAAGACGGTGGTGGTGCTTTACGTTGGCGTAGCAGCTCGTGCGCGCTGGATTTCTCCCAGCGAGAGTAGTTGCGAATCTATTTTGATCCTTCTCTTTCGCTTTCTATATGTCCCTTTGCCTTTCATTTACATAGCCAGTTTTGTTGCCCACT